AAAAAAAAAAAAAAAAAAAACTGTCAGAAATGAAGGCTACACTAAGTGAAATGAAAAATAAGTTACATGGAATCAACGGCAGAGTAAATGAAGCAGAGAATCAAATCAGCGATTTGGAAGATTAAGGAAGCAAAAAACAATCAAAACAGCAAAAAAAAAAAAAAGAATCCAAAAAAACGATAATAGTGTAAGAAGCCTCTGGGACTTCAAGTGTACCGCCATCGTGGGGATGCTGAAAGAAGAAGAGAGGGAGCAAGAAATTGAAAACCTATTTCAAAAAAGAATGACAAAAAACTTCCCTAACCTGGTGAAGGAAATAGACTTACAAGTCCACGAAGCACAAGAGTCCTCCAAACAAGAGGAACCCAAAGAGGCCCACACCAAGACACATCATAATTAAAATGCCAAAGGTTAAAGACAAAGAGAGAATCTTAAAAGCAGCAAGAGAAAAGCAGTTAGTTACCTACAACGGAGTGCCCATAACACAGAGCTGATTTCTCAATAGAAATTTTGCAGGCTAGAAGGGAGTGACAAGAAATATTCAAAGTGATGAAAAGCAAGGGCTATCAGCCAAGATTACTCTACCCAGCAAAGCTGTCATTTAGAATCGAAGGTCAGATACAGAGCTTCCCAGACAAGAAAAGCTAACGGAGTTCACCATGCCCAGACCAGTACTACATGAAACGTTGCAAAGTCCTCTTTAGAGGAAGAAGAAAGATCAAATATATGAATAATAAAATGGCAATAAATACATGTCTATCAATAATTACTTTAAATGCAAATGGATTAAGTGCTCCAATCAAAAGACATACATTGACTGAATGGTTAACAAAACAAGATCCTTACATATGCTGTCTAAAAGGGACATTTCAGATCAAAAAACACACGAATTGAAAATGGTAAAAAACAAACAAAAGAGCTGGGGTAGCAATACTTATACCAGACAAAACAGACTTTAAAACAAAGGCTATAACAAGAGACAAAGAAGGACCTAGCAATTCCACTTCTGAGTATTTATCTGAAGAAATCCAAAAGACTAAGTCAAAAAGAAATATGCATCCCTATGTTCACTGCAGAATTATTTACAATAGCCAAGATATGGCAGCAACCTAAGTGTCCATAAGCAAGTAGACGAATGGATAAAGAGGTGGTACAGTCCTGGCCTGTGTGGCTGATTAGAGCATCAGTCCACACACCAAAGGGTCATGGGTTTGATTCCCAGTCACGGCACATACATGGGTTGCAGGTTCAATCCCCAGCCCCGTTGGGGTGCGTGCAGGAAGCAACCAATCGATGTGTCTCTCTCACATCGATGTTTCTTTCGCTCTCTCCCCACCTCCCTTCCACTCTCTAAAAATCAACGGAAAAAAATATCCTCGGGTGAGGACAAAAAAAAAAAGAGGCAGTACACATGGAATGTAATTCAGCCATAAAAAAAGAATGAAACCTTGCCATCTGCAACAACATGAATGGACCTAGAGGATACTATGGTAAGTGAAATAAGTCAGACAGAGAAAATGCCAGATAATTTCACTTATATATGGAATTTAAAAAACAAAAACAAACATGCAAAACAGGAAAAGACTCATAAATATGGAGAACATTTTGATGGCTGGTAGATGAGAGAGGTGTTGGGGCGAGGGGATGGGTGAAAAAGATGAAGAGATTTACAGATATAGTTGGTAGTTACGAAATAGTCATGGGGATATAAAGTACAGCACAGGAATACAGTCAACAATATTGTAAGAACTATATATGGTGTCAGATGGGTACTAGATTTCTTGAGGTGATCACTTCATGAGTTATACAATGTCTAATCACGGCATCGTACACCTGAAACTAATATAACATTGTACAGCAACTGTAAATTTAAAATAATTTTTTTTTAAAAAAAGAAAAGACACTATAAAAAAAGTAAAAAGCCCACAGAATGGGAGAAAATACCTGCAATCATATATCTGATAAGGGTGTTGTATTCAACATATATAAAGAACTCTTAAAACTCAACAACGAAAAGATAACCCAATTTAAAATAGAGAAAGGACTTGAATAGACATTTCTCTAAAGAAGATATATAAATGGCCAACAACCACATGAAAAGATGATCAGTATCATATATCATTAGGAAAATGCAAATAAAAACCGCAATGAGATACCGCCTCACACCCACTAGGATAGTCATAATCAAAAAACAGGAAACAAAAATGTTGGCAAGAACAGGGAGAAACTGTAACCCTCATATATTATTGGTATAAATAAAAATAATGCAGCTGCTGTGAGAATTACCATACGACCTCCATTTCCACTCCTAGGTATATACTCCAAAAGAAATGAAAACAGGTTATTAAAACAAATATTTATACATGAATGGTCACAGCAGCACTACTTCATAATGGCCAAAAGGTAGAAACAACCCAAATGCCTATCAACGCATAAATGGACAAAATGTGGTATATACATAAAATGGAATAACATTCAGCCATAAAAGAGGAAAGAAGGACTGAAGGGCTGATACACACTGCAACATGGATGAGCCTTGAAACATAACTCTAAGTCACAAAAGGCCACATGCTATATAACTCCATGTCTAGATGAGGGAAATGTATAGAGATAGAAAGTGATTGCTTAGGACTGGGGCAGGAGGGATGGGTGGTGGGGGGACAGGGGTTCTTGAGGAGACAAAGGGGAAGCTAATGAGATAGAAGATGGGGAAATAAATTCTCAGCAAATAGAGAAAGTTAAAAGCATGTGACATGTTTGTGTCAGATTTCTTAAAACAAGTATCAAGAAAATGTTTCTACATTAAAGATTTTAGAATTTGGAAACTGAGCATCAGAACTGGTAAGCAAAATAGGAAAAAAATTTTTATAGCACTGAATAAATAAATTGAGTGTTGTCATAAGATGCCAAAGAAGTCACTTAAGGGAGAAATGTTAGGAATTAAGGAAATATCCTTGCCTAAAGCATTAAGAACTGCCCTCTTCCAGGAAAATATGTTACCAAAAATTTATCCATTATAAAAAAATGTGTTATGCGTATTTTACCACAATTTAAAAAATTATGCCATCATATAACAGACATCTAACAGGGCAGACAGTGGTTGACCCACAAACCTATTATGTGGCATTATGGAAAGAGATACTCATTTACCTCTCTGACTGAGAATTCCTTCAGGCCTGAATATTTCTGGAGTCTCAAAGGCAAAAATGCAGTCGCTTTCGTGGACTGTTTCCAGGTCGTCTGTGTCACAAAAGGAACGGTGGAACCCATCATAGTACATTTCTGTTAATACAATCTAAAAATGGGGAAAATGTCAATAGCTAGATAAGCAGGAAGCCAACATGAATGGGTCTCCTAATTCTCCATGAGCTTCCCCAGACCACCAGGACCTAACCTGTGAGGTCTCTGCCATGTCACAGGGCCCGTACTATTTGCCTTTAATAAGGGAATCTTGGAAGCACAACATTCTCTGTAACTGAAGAGCAGTATACTCTGTTCTCAGAATGTTATGGCACTAAATCCAGAGCTCCTCTGAGCTCTGGTGGAGAAGAGGCCCAGGAGATCAGAGTGTATCCCCTTGTTTCACAGGGGAAGAAACTGAAGAGAAGGGAGAGTGACGTGCCTGAGGCTATTCAACTATTCGCTCTCATGGCAAGGTCAGAGTCCACATCTGACTCCAAGACTAACTCCTACATCATTAAATTTTCTTTCCAGGTTAAAAAATCTCAAATAACCATCAATATTTGTATTAGGAAAAACTGAAATCAACTCAAATGTCCAACAATAGGAACTAGTTAAATATAGTAGAGCCCTACTGGAATTATAAAGCTATTACAAAGAATGAGCTACAAATATTTGCACTAACATGGAAAAATCTCCTAAATAAATAAGAAGCGAGGTAAAGAACAATGTGAGTTCATTTTTATAAAATAATAAATGTAGTATATGCACAGGAAAAAACAGGAATGAATCTACAGCATAATATTAAAGTTAGTAACCCCTAGTTCTAATAAGATACTTAATATGAGATACTTTCTAGGTTTTGTTTCTGAAATGGTTGAGTATTACACAGTAAAAGAAAAAAAAGATGGGTAAAAACAATGGAGACATTTAGAGACTTGGTTACATGCTCAGCAGCATTGTCTAGTGAAAGAGCGCTGGGATGGGCTGAGGAGGTTCCAGTCCCGGCCTGCCACCAACCAGCCCTGTGACTTGGAACAAGTCACATGGTTTCTCTGGGCTCCTTCAAATGAGGGGTTTGGACTGGACCCCTAAGGTTCCCTTTACTAACACAAACATAATACAGGTCTATGAGGCGAAAGGATTGGTGGCATAGTCCACAAAAGTCCAAGGAAAATAGTCCTGACACATTTTCTGTCTAATGATTTTAATGACCACACTGTTTTTCTGCAGGTGAACATGCAAACATAATTCACTCTCTCTAGCAGGTTCAGGTCAAAACAAACTTGTAATTATATCACTCATTCAAACTGCATGCAAAAAGAGCCAGACAGTCGGAGAGCTTTAAGGAGAAAACCGATTTGCCCTGGGCACACGCCTACACCTCCCTCCGTCTCTCCCCTCACCCTGAAAGGACAAAGACGCATCAATGAGCTCTCAAGAGTATGGACAAATGCGGACACTTCATGAACGTGCCAGTCCTGGGGCTATGGAAAGGTGCGACATCTGCTTCTGAGGGCAACACCACTAGTGGCATTTGTTTTACCACAGTAACCTCCCAAATGAGGCCGTCTGCAGTCCGAGTACATAACACCTTTACTATGCAAGTATGGCAGCTTCCAGAAGCGATCTGGGGAGAAGCTACTTGGTCACTGAATCATCTTTCCTTAGTAACTCCTGAGGAGGAACCTTTTTCCAAATAAAATCATAATGGCGAACTGGGTAAAGAATGTATGCAAAAATATGTCAAGTCACAAACAGGCTAATTTGGGGCCAATTTAAATACCAAATATTTACCCAAAAAAGAAAGGGAGCTGGGCACACAACTTCCTTTCTCTTATCTAAACAAGGTAAGAGACTGGTCCAGCTTCAACCAGAGAACAAAAGAACTGAGCATCTAGGTGCAGAACTAGCCAGATGCCCGTTCTAATCACCATGATGCGAAGGGGTTTTCAAGGGCCACTGCTCAGGTTCTCTAAGCCTCTGACTTCAAATACCTCGGGGACGCTCTTCCCACATAAACCTCAATAAGGATGACTTAAGGGGGTTAAGCAACTGGTCTGACACTTCTATCTAACTACACTTGGCAAAGCACTGTTAAAAAATTCCAGGAGAACAGAAAGCCACCCTTGTGTGGCTCCTTGTATAATCAGCGTTCACAGTCATACTACCTGATCAGTGGGGATCTTTGTTTCCACAGACACTGCTTCCCGAAGTCTGGCGACAGTCCCAGACAGAGGCACAGCCACGCCAATCCTCATGCAGTGAGAACACTTTCCTTGATACACTACAGTGACATAGAGAGGCCTGTACAGATCAAAGTCAGATCTTATTAGCTGCTTATTTCAACTAAAGTATAGAAGCAAGACAAACCTGACTGGAAATCAATGTAAAACTGAAGCTAACCCACACCTCTATTTAGAAGCCAAACAGAAAAACTCACTTGGGCCTAAGTAAAACTACCAAACAATCATCAAAACATCTCTGGAAAAGGTAAGCTTCAAAAAACAAAAATGTAACATATCAATACTTGGTTCTGTGCTTTGTATTTTCCTTAAAACAGTGTAACTCCTGGAAATTCTGAGAAAAGTTTCAAATAAAGCAATTAACTAAAAGTGCAATATGAGGCCTCTAGAGAATCTAGAGCAGCCTTTCCCCTCCCCCAGGCTGTGGACAGATGACCAACTGAACAGGTATACCTGTCCCACGCACCTCGCAAGCTCAGACAGACATGTGTAAATTTCTGTAAGGTTTTAACAATGCCTGTATTCAACTTATCACTAACCCCATTACTTGTCTAAATAAAGTAAGAAGACCTATTAAGAGTCTACAGAGAAAAAGGAACACAAAGGAATGTACCACCTTAATTTTACTAAATCTGCTCTTACCTTGTGTGGGGTAGAGGAATTGGCAAAGAAATGCAGAGGAAAGGGTCAAAAGTGTTGCTCTGCTTCTGACAATGAGGACATGTCAAAGAAGATCTTCAAAAACAAAAATGTAAGACACCCATAATAAGATCACCTACAATTACATAAGCAAACAACATAAAGGGAAATTTAATTGGCTCATACCTGTACTGGGCTTGAAAAAGTTCTTGTACAAAAGTGCTACAGACAGGAAAAGATGGTCCCTCAGGCATCATATCAGTCTCTGATGGTGGCTTAAAAGAAGAAAGTACAATTTTACAGACTAGAAAAAAGTACCAATTATTGACTGAAGATGACCCTGAAAGTGTCACAAATGTCCTTGACTTTTACAAGCTATGCATCAGGTTCAGATGTTTAATTAAAAGGTATCTGCTAAAGGAACCAGAACATAGCAGCCAGGACGTGGGTCACAGAACTCATCTCCTCACAGGCTATCCCACACATCCCGGTCTCTCCACCCCATCCAGGCAGTTCCTCCCCGGGACACTCCAATCCCCCTCCAACTCTCGAAGTCCCGTGCGAGCCTCTTCCAGGAAATGATGCCAACCACTGGTTCCTCCCATGCCTAAATTCCCTAGCACCTATTAGCTGCTAATTTTGGTGCCTAATCACTCTACTTCATATTTCACTTAACCTTCCATGTCCCTCCACCTAACAGTTAGTTACTGAGTACCTGCTACTACGTACAGAGAGCACTGTAGAGGGCTTTAGAGTACAAAGTGTCTGACTTTGAGTTCATCTCAACTTAGTGGGAGAGAGTCAGCCACAAGCATAGAGTCAGTCATATGACAGTACAGAGTTCAGGCACAAAAGGACCTTAAATTGAAATAACAACTAAACCAAAACTAGAAATTTAAAATTTGAGGTACTGAGAATTATCAAAAACTTTAAAAGTTGCAAGAGAAAGGCAACTCTTTATCTTAATTATTTCCATTAAGAAAATTATTTTACCCATCATAGTAAAGCTACATGCATAAAAATTAAGGATAAATAACTCCTCAGTTACGAATATTCTGGGGGGTCAGTTCCTACACTCCTAACAAGAGACATCCATACATTTCCTGCTTGACTGTGTGTCTGTTCCAGTGATCTACAGACAATGGGTCTCACTGGACTAGAAAGCAAATGTTTGCTTTAATAACAGTTTAGTGAGATGGAACCACTTAATTTTAGTCTAAAGCTAGTCATACAGGCAAATGTGTCCCCTCTCATTAGACTGTAACCTCCTGGGAGACAGCACCTCTGGCATCTCACACTGTCAACACAGGAGTAAGAACGGAGAAATCAATCCTCTAAGTATCCATGAATTTTGTACTCACCCAAAGCTTACTCAATGTCACTATATTAACTAAGTGCAAACTGCAACAGCTTCTCAGGGGTTTGGGAGAATGGGCCTGGGCTCCCTGTTCCCAGCCTGCTGGGCGGGGCACCCTCACCTTCACAGGAGGTTGGCCGTTCTGCTTCACAGCATGATTGAGGTCCTCGTGAACTCGGTCCAAAAGCCACAAAAGAAACTCCTGAGCATCATGCTGGGAATTTCCCCGGTATTGCAGCGCATTCTTTGACACAATACTCTAGATAGGTACATAAATCAGCATGAATAGTTGTGAATCCTGGCTTTATGATAAACTGTTTCATAATCCCAAACAGGGGTGGATGTAAGCTCTCAAGGGTATTAGAGGACTTCCCAGAAAGAGCAACATAAAAACTGGTGCTAAACCTGGCCAGCATGGCTCATTGGTTGAGCATCCACCTATGATCCAGGAGATCCCCATTAGATTCCCGGTCAGGGCACATGCCTGGGTTGTGGACTCGATCCCCAGCAGGGGGCGTGCAGGAGGCAGGCGATCAATGATTCCCTCTCATCATTGATGCGTCTCTCTCCCTCTCCCTTCCTCTCTCTCTGAAATGAATAAAAGTATTTTAAATAATAAATAAATAAAAATAAAAACAGGTGCTAAGAAAAAAAAACAGGTGCTCAATGTAAAACCCACCCTCGCCCGGCTGGGCATGGCTCAGCGGTTGAGCATCGACCTAGGATCCAGGAGATCGGGGTTCGATTCCCAGTCAGGGCACATGCCGGGGTTGCAGGCTCGATCCCCAGTTCGGGGAGTGCAGGAGGCAGCCAATCAATGACTCTCTCATCATTGGTGTTTCTGTCTCTGTCTCTCCATCTCCTTTCCTCTCTCTGAAGTCAATAAAGATGTATTTAAAAAAACAAAAAACCACCCCCAGGAGCACGCACCAAAGACTTAAATGTGCCTACCCAGGAATCCCACTTTTAGGAATATAGCTAAAGGAAACCATCAAAACAGCCAAAACATATAAGAGGATATTCATTCATCAGGCTTTTTAATAGCAAAAAACAGGTGATAACTTGAATATCTTAAAAATGGGAATTGTTACAAATACCACATCATTACTTTGTACACATGAAGCTAACAAAATGTTTTATCTCAATTATACCTCAATAAGAAAAAAGAATTGGTTACATAAGTAACATAGTATTGGATTATAAACCAAAGTATAAAATAAACAAGTCTACACCATATAAGTGATTGAGTAAATAAATGGGAGGAAGAGACAAATCTTCCTTATAAAAGAATTCCAAATAATTTATGTCACTAATGCTCCTCCAGGAGTTGGACCTGAACGCCCCACCTGGAGAACAGGCTATGACAGTGACTTGCTCTGAAAGACAAGTATGGAAGAGCGGTAGCCAGTGAAAGGTTGCCAGTGAACTGAATTAAGATCCTGGGCTCAAGAGCATGCAGCCTAAGTTCAAATCTCTGCCCCAGCCCTTATTCTGTGTGAGGTCCTGGCTAACTCTCCTCAAAGTGAAAGGGACAGTAATGATTTAGCGTGGTTAAGTGAGAACGCATGCAAAACACTTCGCACATAAACGCGGTATAAATAAGCACTGACATTTTAACTATGATTACTGGACTTGAAGTAGGACAGCTGCACAAAGCAAAAGCAGTTCGGAGACAAACAAAATGAGGAGGGAAGAGATAACGAGGGTCTAAGCTAAGGCAGCGAGGGCAGAAATGCGAGGGCAAACCTGAGGGATTTAGGAAGGGAGGCAGGGAAATCAACAGAACTCGTGAGCCGAGGAAGGAGGCGTTGGTGTCACCCAGGTGTCCTATCTGGACGATGGGCAACTGGTGGCACCTTCAACAGAGGGAGTAGCCTGGGAAGAGGGGGATGAGTGCCCTTTCGAATCCACTGCATTCTGAAGCTCTGCAGACCTCCTAGCAGAAGTATCTTGACAACAAATGAAAAATACAGATCTGGGCTCCATGGAAGAGCCTGTGCTAAGGATAAGATTTGTGAGTCAACAGATGGGTGGTAACTGAAACCATGAGAACGTCTGAAATCACCCAGACATAACCATGAGGTGGAATCAAAGGACAGATCCCAGAGGACAGCTATATTCAGGGGCCCTCAAAGGGGACCAAGAAAAGGTCATCAAAGATATGGCAAAAAAAATGGAGTCCCAAGAGTCAAGAGAAGAGAGTTATGTAGAAAGTGATCGTAGTGTTCAAAGATGAAGAATGATAAAGTAAGCCAAAGAAACAAGAGCTGTCCATTGTATCTTTCCAATTAAGATAACGACAAGAGAGATGAAAAGGGGACAGGTTTTTAATTCAATTATGAAAAAGAAGCATCACAACTTGATGGTCAATTAGATATGAATGAAACATAAAGATGATTTACAAAGATTCAAATTTAGGGAGGGGAAAAAAGAGAATATTGAGATGTCATTGGCAAAACTTCCTAACTGAATGAAGTGAGCAAGGGAAAAGGAGGACCCTGATGACAAGCAAGGATGCCACCTGGACTCCACCTCAGAAACAGGTACACAAGACGAGATGGCCGTGCGGGGAAGTCTTCACCCCACAACAAAACTTCCCCAGAGGTCAGATGCCACCAGATCGCCAAGTCCAATTTCTTCTTTCTCAGCCCTCATTTTGCTCGAGCTCCCTGTAGCAGTTTATACACTTGATAGCTTCCTGAATCTTGAAATGGTTTGGTTTGCAGCCTTATGTTTGCATTAGGAGAATCAAAACCAGAGCCACTGCGCCCTGGCCAGTTTGCTCAGTGGTTAGAGCACCGGCCCTCGGACTGAAGGGTAGGGGGTTTTGATTCCCGTCAAGGGCACGCACCTCGGCTGCAGGCTTGGTCCCGGGCACGGTTGGGGGTGCGTGAGGGAGGCAACCAGCTGATGTGTCTCTCACACTGATGTCTCTCCCTCCCCTCCTTCCCTCTCCCTCCCACTCGCTCTGAAAAGCAATGGAAAAATATCCTCAGATGAGGGTAGAAACAGTAATAACCCAGAGCCACTGGCGTAGACAGTGGGAGAGGGTGTGGGCTACCAAAGAAAGAGATCTCCTAGTAAAGAAAATCGACCAAGGAAAACACACAGCAGCTAGCAGCACTGCTGACGCTGGGGCCGGCTCAGGAAAGGAGAGAAACAGGCGACTGGTGGCACCATCTTGAGGGACGCACCACGGTTTTCAGCATCTGATGTAGGCAGATAATGACGTCAGGAACAGAAGGAGACTGCAGAGCACTGGACATGTTGAGTCTGAGGTGCCTACAGGATCCCAAGTGAGGCTAAGTGTGGTGCTCAGGAGAGACATCTGAGCTGGAAAGTTAAATCAGCACAGATAACCCTATCCCCAGAGCACAAAGGAAATACCCAGCCAGGCAGGATCCTGAAGAACGCTAGCACAGAAGGGACACATCACAGAAAAGCCCAAGAAGATAAGAAGCAGCACCAGGAGAGCGCGCACCACACAAGCAGAGTGAGGAGAAACCGCCACGGAGATGGAAGCCACAACGTGAACCACCGCAGGAGAGTCCACACAGGCACTGAGACAGGCCCTGGGGATGGCACGTTAGGGTGACTGTCCCTGCCTCTTCAGGGAAGCAGATCAGGGAGGGCGAGAGAAGGAAGGTCAGGTGGCTACGTGGCTGCAAGACCACTCTTCATATCCAAGTGCTTAGTTATCAAAGGATGGAGACAGAATGCTACGACCACTGGGGGGACCAGCTGACACGCAGCGAGGGGCTCACATGGCGAGGGCAGGAGCTGGCGGAGTGGAGACACCTAAAGAAAGGCGATTCTTTCTTTTCCTTTTCGTTTTTATTTTAGGGGGGGGAGGGGGAAGGAGAGAAACATCAATGTGAGAAACATCGACTGGCTGCCTCCTGCACATGCCCTGACCAGGGATCAAACCCACAACCTGGGTATGTGCCCTGCCCAGGAATCAAACCTGCCACCTTCTGGTGTGTGGAAGGACGCATCAACCAAATGAGCAGCACAGGTCAGGCAAGAAAGGTGATTCTTCAGTAAGGGGAGCCGGAGGGATTCGGGACAGGCAGAGGAACTGCCTTAAAAAGGAGGGGGGAGAGACACGAGAGGAGGTAAAGATATGCAGAGGGTTCAGAGAAGTTACAGACAGGAAGGTGGGGAAGTTTGTTTTGTTTGTTTGTTGTTTGTTGAGGAAGCAGAGACAGCTGCCAAGAGGAAGTATTGGCTACAGCAAGGATAGAAACACAGCACACAGCTGGGTACACAAACTGCCAGAAGCATGACAAGCTGGTGTTCAGGACCCTCTCTCATCTACTTCCAATGGAAGAGCAGGGGGGAAGTCCTCAGCATCTGCATCCTAAGAAACAAATTAGCTGAAATCAAATGCTTCATTATGTGTTAAAGCAAAATGGTATGGTCAGTGTCCATCAAATTTCAGGGTGGAGACAATACTAAGTTCTTTATCAGGCTTGCATTCAACTTGACTTATGCTTCCTGCCACTATCACTTCAACTCATCCACACTTACCCACCAATCACCGTGTTCCAGGCACTGTGCTAAAGCCGCTCAGCAAGATTTTTTCGGGGCACGCTTAAACAGGCCACGGGGACTTCCACAACCCTCTGCAACTGGGACAAAAACTGCTCTGGGCCAACCTCGCCCTAAATCACTATATCACAAACTGAAGGAAAGTTCACAGGAGACCGCACTGAATAAACACAAACACAGTCTCCTCTTTCTGCTCTTCACAATGGTGACATCTTCTGCTACAGATACCCAAGGGACTTTCCTTTAGTGCCAGGCAAAACAAGGCATAGGATAATCTAGTAACCATCCCTAGTGTGTGTTGCAGGAGAAAGAAGAGTGGGAGTCAAGCAACCACAGGGAAAATGAGTTGTTTCTGGTACAGAGCCCCTTGGCCCTCACAGACACAAGGGCCTAGCACAGGGAACTCAAATCCAAGTGTCCCTGTATCCAAGTTCTCATGAGCCAAACTCAGCAACTATACAGACGTGGAGAGCAAGGGCTATCCTCACCGCTGTAACGCTAACTTTGGACATTAAACAAACGCGTATGTACCACAAAGACTTGGGGGCAGAAACTCATTGCTTGGAATATAGGCTAGGAAGAGACATATATCTTGTCTAAAGAAAACGCTGTCATAAAAGGGTTGAGAAAGGATTACTGCATTTCAAGAAATTATAAGTAAGGGTAGAAGTATGGTCAAGAACGTTAGAGCCGGGATAAAAGGGTGAA